TTAGGGTTACAAGGGTGGGTTGGGGTATCGGGGATGATGGTTACGGGTTTGGGATGGGGGTTGGGCAGCGCTGAGGCGTGGTAGGTCGTGGCGGTGGGAAGCGGCTAGGGAACTGCGGAGGGGAGTAAGGGAGGGGACTGTGACTGGGGATTTGGGATCAGTGAGATGGGGTGCAGGGGAGAGGATTATGACTGAGGATCTGGAAGGGGGACTATTGGCGGTCAGGGGGCAAGGGCTGTGGTGTTGGCGGTGGCAAGGCCACACTCGTGGTGTTCTCAGCGATTAGAAAGTGTGGCTCGCCGGAAATAGCTCGCAAGGGCTGTGAAGGTTTGGGGACTGTGCAGAGACTGTGCAAGGACTGGTGAAGGTTGGGGGAATGAAACCTGGGTGCGAGATGATGGCAGGGTGGTGAGGGGCAGTAGTGGGATGGTGGTGACCGGCGGTGGCTGGTCACTGTGGGGATTGGTGCGACGGCTTGGTGGCAGATATCGGGGGTTGAGCGGATGAAATGGTGGGTTGTGCTGGTTGAAAGGCTATGGGGGTGTGGTGTTGGGCAGTGCTATGGTGATGAGGGCTGGGGTGGAGTGATGTGGTAGTGCAGTGGTGATGGTGGCAATTTCTGACCGGGGGCGTTGGCGGCAGTCACTGGCGCGCGATGGCGGCAGTCACTGACTGAGGGTTGTGGCGGCAGTCACTGCCGAGGGCGGTGGAGGTGCTGGCAGTCACTGGGCAGGGGCGGTAGCGGCAGTCACTGCTGAGGGCGGTCGCGACTGTCACTGACCGGGGATGGTTGCGGCAGTCACTGCCGAGGGCGGTGGAGGTGGCGACAATCGTTGGATAGGGGCGGTGGCGACAATCACTGCTGAGGGCGGTGGCGGCAGTCACTACGGAGGGTTGTGGCTATTGCAACTGTCGATGAATGGGGCTGGTGGTGACTATGATTCCGGTCACTATCTTTCCGTTTTCTAATTCTGGTCACTATAATTTCAGATGTAATTCCGGTCACTATAACTTCAAATGTAATGGCAGTCACTATAATTTCAAATGTAATGGCAGTCACTATAATTCCAGTCACTATAATTCTGGTCACTACAACATAATGCACCATACTTGTCAACCGTAAGCAATTCCACGTGCAGAGTCATATAATTGGAACTTTATCATTTAACTCACTTTTTTGTGCTTCGGTCTTTTTTTAGTAATATCTATAAAAAAAGGCCCCATGTTCAACCATACATTTCGTGTGACAAATTAAGTCGCACCGCTCCAAAAGGAAGTTCAATTTAAGCACTCTTTGTTTTCAACACAGCTCTATTTTAATACCAATCTATTGTCATATTTCATTATAATCAAAATAGGTTAACACCGATTTTTCACGTATTGACATAATTTTGAGTGGAAATCATGAAGGGTCCACATTCATATCTGTGTCAAAATCCGCGCAAAAGTCATTTTGTCATGGGGAAGAGTAAATGTACCATTGGATTTGAGAAATATTCTATTTGTGCAGCCCGGGTTACACCCCGCGTCACACCCTGGGTGACACCCTATTTATTTACTATTCACACAGATAAAAAAAAGTACAATACAAACATTTTTTGACAAAATTTGAATAAAATTTGTCTGTGTGAACAAAATTTGTATGTAAACATGTCTACGTAGAGTCAAAAACTGGTATGTGCACATACACCTTTTGTGAATGTACTGTCATATGGTCATTTGCACACTAATTAATGTGATTTGCACATAAACCAATGCTTGTATATAAACACTGGTTAGACAAAACTTTTTAAGATTAGCCAAACGTTCTTTCATATCAAATTGCCGCTGATCCATTCCCAACATGCAGGTATTTAGATTATCTATTGATGAAGAATCCTTTCCCATCGTGCCTCATGCTGATACCAGATTTTTATGAGCACACATTAGATCTTGTCGAAAGTGAGAATGGAAACAAACTCGGGCAGAGGCATACATGAATTATTTATGTATGATAAACACGTAGTGAGAAGCGAAAATAGCAAGGCTTAATGGGGCAATTAATCAAGTGTCCGACCTTGTCGAGGTATGCAAGATTCATTGTATTGTGCGTAGTATATAGTTATGGGAAAATCGATATTAGCCCATGAGGTTATGCCATAATTATAAATGCAACCTTGCATTTTTGAAAATCAATTACTTAATCCTTGAGTTTTTATTATTCTCACTGTTTGCCCCCTCAAGTTAATATTTGTTAAATTAAATTCAATATAACTCTTAAATTTAATGAAAGTTATCTATAAAGTTAAATTTTAAAGTAAAATAAAATTAATAACTTAATTATAAGTCATTGTTGTTGATCGTTATTTGTTTACTTATCAACTCGATCATGGGATAAATATTAATGAATGTCGTTAAAAGGGAAGACTTACGAGTAAGGCATAAAAAATAGTAATAGAATTAATAAAAAATTGTATTTTACTTTGAAATTTAATTTTATAGACAATTTCATTAATTTTAAGAGTTATATTAAATTTAATTTAAAAATATTAACATAAGGGGGCATATAGTGAGTATGATCAAAGCTGAGAGGATAACTAATTGATTTTTGAAAATGCAAGGTTGCATTAATAATTATAACCTAACCTCAGGGGTTAATAGTAATTTACAACAAGATGGTAAAACATAATTCCTAATGGCCAACTTACCAAATTGGTATAACAAAGTTTGTGTGACCAATTGATCAATTTTTTGAATGAGACACTTTTGATCCTCGATTGTAGAATTTATGGCACTTCATATTTTAAGTATTGTGAAATTGATATTTTCAGTTCCTCTACTTTGATTTTGTCATCAAAACGGGAGGGCTAATAATGTCAACGGTCGTGTTTAATAATAACAGTTGTCTGCTAGTTAATAGACGGTTGATTAGTGGATTGATACTAGCATATTCTATTACCCTTTTTAACTAACTGTTTTCATTAACGGTTTGAAATAAAATGTTAGTAACTTATCTGTTTGCAATTAGCTTTTAAAACGTAACATGATCATCAAGGATATGAATTTAAAAGTTTATGTAATTAATTAAGTTTTATTTCTTTCATTTTTAAAATTTCTTGGAAAAAGATTTAAAAATTAAACTTTACATTTATTTTAAATAAATGAAAATAAAAAAATGAGGACTGAAGTTATTTTAAAAAAATGTCTTAAATAAACGAAAACCAAAGTAGAAGAAATGAAAATGTCAATTTCCAATACTTAAAGTATGAAATGTCGGTAATTCTAAAATCGAGTAAAAAAAGTGTCTCACTAAAAAAACAATTTGTCACTAGGGCTTCTTTTTTTACCAATTTGTCTCAAATGATTTTTTTTACCAATCTGGTAATACACCTTTTTTTACCAATTCAGTAATTTGGCCCATTCCTAATACTAGTAAACCTGAATTAAAAAGAGACCTGCTAAAAATGAATTAGGAAAGCACTTAAGTAAATACGGTATAAAAAAACACACTAGGGTATGTTCGGTAATTCTAGAATCGAGTAAAAAAAGTGTCTCACTAAAAAAACAATTTGTCACTAGGGCTTCTTTGTTTACCAATTTGTCTCAACTGATTTTTTTTACCAATCTGGTAATACACCTTTTTTTACCAATTCAGTAATTTGGCCCATTCCTAATACTAGTAAACCTGAATTAAAAAGAGACCTGCTAAAACTGAATTAGGAAAGCACTTAAGTAAACCGCGTAGAAACAGTGACCTTCACCAGGATTCTGATGGCTGTAACTCACAGAACTGTGTGTTCGTTAATGGAGTTAAAGCTGAATTTGGAGCTCTGATACCAATTGTAACGCTCTAGGAATGTAATTTGAAGAACGAACGTACTGTAGGAATTCTTATGAGTGAAAAGAATTCGAACTCAAGTAGAGAGAAGCAAATGCAAGATGAAGAATCAATTGAGAGCTGAGTGTTCTGTATCATCACATGTATACGTATTTAAGCTAAGCCACTAACAACTTTAACGGATCAGTTTGCAACTAACTCAACTAATCTGTATTATACGTATATACATGTATGTATGTCACTAGTCTACAGCTGACGTAACCAATGACATAAGCTCCACGTAATGCAGCATAACACCTTCCAAAGTTTATTTATAGCTGTGGACAGGTTTATTCACTCTTTCATTGGTGATTGGTTGTTAAAGACTTGAAGTATTGCCAGCCTGGAGCAGAACTCGGATAGCAAGTGAAAACAAATTTTGCTCCTCCAAGGACCACACAGCAAGCAGTCACTTGGGTTCAGTTCTTTCTGATGGAATGATTATAGCAGAGAGAGGACACTTATCAGAGGGAAGGGGAAAGTATCCCCCAATACATATTTTGTAGACAAACACACTAATAGTGCATAGGGGACTTCATTCACAATACTTTACATGCCTTAAACTCATGTGGTTAAATTAACAGTGTAATAAAAAAAAGGTAAGTTCATTGGACAGACACCTCAGCTCCAGATACTCCTAAGGGATCACAAGTAGGAAGAGTCGCATAAAGATCCCATTCAAATTTTTGTGCTAAACAAGAACTGAATTGTAGTATAGAATGAAGGTTTGGTCAATGGTTGTCGTTGCGTATCTACCTACCTCTATTATACCCAGAGCTAGCAGTTGCCCCCCCCCCCCCCCCCCCCCGCCCCGCTGCCGCTGCTCTCCTCATTGCTATTGATCGAGCAAGCATATCATCAGCCTGCTGATCAATTATTATTAGTGACATCATAATAATGATTGTTGTTGTTGTTACTTGATTTTTGCAAGATGGGTAACAACAAACGAGCAGAGAGTGAAGTGAAAGAGATGATGAAAAATTACAGGCTTATCATAGGCATCATCTTCTGGTTGAATAATCCTGTCTGCAAGGCCATAGTCAATGGCCTGTTGTGGTAACAAATTTTTAGTACGCCGAATCTCTCTCTCGATCTCTTCCTTTGGTTTACCCACACTCATTGACAATAGATCCAAGTAACTATCTGTATTTGTTTCCAGCTCCTTTCCCTGCACTATACACTAATTAGTGCATCTCATTCTCATTATGAAAATGAGAGAGATAGAGCGACAAAGAGAGACCTTAATCCACATATCAGTAACAGGTCCACTTGATCTGCTAACACTATACAGATACAGTTTTGCTGCATTGCACCAAATATAATGAAGCGGAGTTATAAATGTTGAATAGTATACTACGGCTTTTATTTATATGACTTTCTTACAATTGATGATATCTAGAAAAATGAAGGAGCTAAACCCTCTAAGGCTGTACGAATAAGAAACCCGAATCTGAATCTCTAAGGCTGTACGAATAAGAAACCCGAATCTGAATCTTACTTAAATTAATCTAGGCAACTACCCTGTTCAAATGCAATATTTTTATATTGATACCTGCAAAACATTTCATTCTCACATGCTGTTCTTATGTCTCTCAGAGATTATACTAGGCTGCGGGATCAGAGCCTTATGAGGAAGTTTATTGACTCTCTGACCTTCGTTGCTACTTGCTAGGCTATGGTAACAAAAGGAACCATTTTTAAGATTATGACATTTTTAACTCAATCCTTCTTGGAGTAATGATCCTGTCCAGCCGGAGGGACAGGACCCGCCGTCCGTCCGTCGCCATTTGGGGCGGTTCCCGGTGGAATTGTTTGATAAATATTTTTTTAGGATGTTCTACATCAAGTCTAGTTTATCCATATCAAATTTCAGCAAAAAATGCAACCGGGAAGGCAGTCAGATGATTTTCTGAACAATACTGCACTGTTTATATATGTTAACTGTGCAGTTATCTTCAAAAATTCATTTGACTGTCTTTCCGATTGAATTTTTAGCTGAAATTTGGTATGGGTAAACTAGACTTGATGAAGAACATGCTCAAAAAATTCATCAAAAAACTCCACCGGGAACCGCCCCAAATGGTGACGGCCGAACGGCGGGTTCTGTCCCTCTGGATGGACAGGATCTTTTTCCATCCTTCTTGATTTCTTTGTTAGATTTGCTTCAGGGCATTGCAAGTCATTGCGACTTTTAGGAGAAAATTCACTGGGATCTTATCTACAAAGGAGATAATGGGTTTGAAAAATGTAAATGTTTATTTTAAGTTAAAACCACATCCAGGAGCTTTGAAACACACAAAAATTTGAAGGTGGTGTGTGTCAGTGACAGATTTTAGTCCATCCTTTATGTTTTCTTAAATATCATCTGTTGTTTTAAATGCAAGATAGTAAGATCCATTTAACTTCGTACCCTAGATCTTTTAGTTTCACACAGACTATGTGTCAGTACAATTCCTTCCTCATCATATCTAAAAGCTTTTTAATTTATTTCTGCATTGTCTTGGTAATTGAAAATCGAATTTCATCGTTTGAATAAGATTGCACACTTTGCAAGAAGACACAAATCTTAGTTAGATAGATTCCGTTAAAAATTAACAACTTTCGGCGCAAAAAAAACTTAACTGATCCTAATTCTAGCTTGAATTTTAATACGATAAATGCTATGGAGTATTTAAGTTAGTCACTTCCTTCAAAGGTTAGATTCTTTTTGTATTAAGCCACAAATTAATACCAAACCTATGAAAAGTTGAAAACTATATTACGGAGTACTATTTAGTATTTCTATATTTTATCAATAACAATGAATGAACTATAAACTCTACCACCCCTCATGCTTAGAACGTGCACTTATTAATGATGTTGCATTCATTCACAATAGACGACACCATGAAAAAAAGAATGAAGTCAGTTGCATAGCTGCTTGAGCATGTGCCTATGCAACATTCACTGTGTACACGTCTGATTTGCAGAACTGTGTTAAACCAAAAGGAACAGTTAGCGGAATGAAATCCTGATTTAAGTCCCGATGGTGATGATTATGCCACCCGAGATACTCACACTGATGGAGTCAGCTATTGCATATGCATCTGTTTCGGAACCAACCAAGTCCCTCTTTTCATTCTGCCCAGAAAATATCAAATGTAAGTAAACTAATTACAAAAGGATGGGTAATCATTAAAAAGCAGTGTTAGGAGGCATGTAAAAAACCAAGGTCAAAGTTATGAAGTCCTTCCTATGTAATACCATCAACCATTATTATACCACACATTTTCCGTTTCAATTTTTGAACTAGAACCTGACAACATTTCCTTTTTACATAAATATGAATATTGTTTGTAAGATGATACAATGAGTAACATGAACTAATCAACTAACCTGAGTGCCAGATGAATTTATATAAAGATATATAGGCTTTGGAGTATTTTCATAGTCTAACCACATTAACTGAGCAAGAACAAGATCAGCAACAGATGGCACAATCTGTTGGACCAAATTCAAATTTAGAATTTAAAAAAAAATCACTTATTAGAACAACATATGGGAGTACACATTTTAAAATAAAAGGTATGAAGTAGAGCGAGAGTGGTACACAACCGGCATGCCAAGATACACAATTCGAGCTTTAAGAAGCTCTGATGGCAAATCGGGAGGCTCAGAATCATATCTACCAATGGGCCCACCAGCCATTCTACTATGCATGGACATACTCATACTCTGCATTTCAGGACCATCATCGGTCCACAGCCCACATTTGCTCAAATAATTGTGCCTTGATGATATGCTTTCCTATGAGATCACAATAGACATAAGGACCTTTTCATAATTTAGTAATGAAGGCCCTTAGAGATGATACATTACAACAACAAAAACAGACCTCATTGACACTTTTAGATTGTCTATTTACAGGATTGTCTTCTTTCATGAAGATATTCATCTGTGATGGAGTAAGGCCGTAGAGGGACTGAGGAAAATTTTCATAATTTTCCATCACTATGATAGGAACCCTCTTATATTAGACTAATAATAGAAGTATTAATTAGAATATTAGTAATAAGGGTACTTGAGGTATTGTATAGTATAAATAGACGGGAAGGGGGATTTAGAGAGGAGGCTTTTAGACATTTGGTCTTGGGACTGGGAAGGATACGAGACTGAACATCTCGATCTTTTGGGCTTCGGCCTTGTACACTGTTTCTTTTCTGTAATCGATATCTTCTTCAATAAAATTCTTCAGCTGATTTCTTGTTACTCTTCTTGTAACTGTTCTGGAATCCGGAGGTCTCTAACACACTACAAAGAAAATTAATTAATAGGGATAACGGAGTAAATCTCAACACTGCCTTGCAAATAATAAGTGACTGCACTCAATGCAGGATTGCAGGTTCATTTTTCGAAAGGGAACTAGCCTCTCTGAGAGATAGCTATACCATTTCATGAACTCTTCAACAAACTTCCAAGATAATGACAATGAAGACATACAACCACAGGCGTACTTTACTTAGAAATTTTCATTTTACTCTTCTGACATTAAGGAAAAAAGATCGAAAGAGAAAGTGTCAAACTCAGTCCGATTCTATTTATCAACCTACTAGAAATAATCAACAATCACAAGAAAGTAACAGAAAAATACCTAAAATTGCAGGAAATGAGACCTAAGAACATAGACCAATAATAATTGCATGAAACAATAAAATAAAATGTGCTAAGAGTCGGTTTCAACCCAGAATTGAATTTTTCTGTGAGCCTAACTTGCAGGCCTTTTGCATAGATCATCACTGTCATTAACATAAATGTGGCACTTTTAAATTTTGTAAGCATTTCTCTAATTCTATTAGCTCCAGAATATCACGAACAGGGAGGGGGGGGGGGGGGGGGGCAACACTGACAAGCAAAACTCACCTTCTGACACCTCAGAACCAAATTCATGTGAAGGACCTTGGGCTATAACTTATAGCTTAAGATCACATGAATTTGGGAAAATGAATGATGCTAATTATTAGCTATATTCAAATCCCATGCTTATGCATTGAGTTCAATGACACTACAACCCATCCATTTCTTTCGCTTACTTTCGCCCATCAGTTGTCTCAGCTTCTCTACCTTATCCCATCTGCCCTGATCGGCATATAAATTTGATAGAATGACATAATAGCTGGCATTTTTTGGGTCCAAGGAAATAAGCTGTTTAGCAACTAATTCGTGTATTTCACTTGCCCAATGAGTTTTTCTACATCCAGCAAGAAGAGCTCCCCATATCCGCTTATCTGGCATGATGGGCATGTTATTCACAAATTCAAGAGCTTGTTCTACATTCCCTTGACGACTCAGCATATCCACCATACAAGCATAGTGTGCAAGTTTTGGTGTAATATCATACTTTTCTTGCATTGCATGGAACCAGTTCCATCCCTCGTATTCTAGGCCACAATGGCTACAAGCAGAGAGAACTGATACGAAAACAACATCATTTGGTTTTATCCCATAAGACAACATATCCAAGAAACACTCAAGAGCCTCACTCCCAAGGCCATTGATCCCATATCCGTTGATCATTGAACTCCAACATACGAGATCTTTGTTAGAATTTTCATCAAAAAAAGATTTCCCTTGTTGTATTCTTCCAAATTTACAATACATAAAAATCAATGCAGATGCCAAAAATGCATTGTATGTATAACCAAATTTTATAACCTGTGCATGTATAGCTTCTCCAAAATCTTGTGCTTCCATTGAAGAACAAGCATGCAGTAAACTAGCAAAAGAAAATTCATTAGGTTTCCTGTTTTCCCATTGCATCCATTTAAGTATAGCTAGAGCATTACTGGGTTCCTCACTTTGGGCATATGCTGAGATCATTGCGCTCCAAGCAATGATATCTTTTTGGCCAAGTGAATCGAATAAACTCCTTGCAGCTCCAATGTTACCGAAGTTATCATACATTTGGAGAAGAGCGGTCACAACAGAAACAAATTCCAAAAATCCTAATTTTAGTGCAAAGCTATGGATTTCTTGTCCAGCCTTTGTCTCGTCCAATGTGGAATACATTCCAATTACCTCCCTTATTATGCTCTCATCCATTGGGAAGCAACAAGACTGCATCTCATAGAAAAAACTCAAGGCTACTCTTGGGCAGTCATTATTATTGCACCCATGAATAATACTCTTCCAAGAAACAAGATCCTTCCTTTCTATATTTCGGAAAATATTAATTGACTCCTTTAAGCTTCCACATTTATTATACATATCCAGAAGTGAATTCTGAATATTGAGATGAGAGATAAATGACTTTTTGATGGAAAACCCATGTAGTTCTCGCCCAATTCTCAAAGCAGAAAGGTTCGCACAAGCAGGCAAGATGCTCAAAATGCTAACATAATTCGGTACAACCCCACACAACTGCATCTCTTTAAAAAGGTCAATGGCCTTAATATACTCTCCAACCTTCACAAAAGCAGAAATAGTTGCACTCCACAGAATAACATCTTTGTCAGGTGCCAGTAGAAACAACTTAGATGCGGATTCCATATCCCAAACAGAATAAAAACCAAGAAGTGCTGTAATAATAGGTGTTTCAATTTCAAATCCCATTTTTATTGCGAAACAGTGAATTTCCATCACCAACATTTCTGAGCCTATACAGGAAGACGCTTGAATGGAGCTGAGAACTGTAACATAGTTTGGCTTTTGATGGCTCATAAGCATTCTTTTAAAAAGATCAATGCCCTTTTCCGGCTGGTTCTTCTTTACGAAGTCTGAGATCATCGATGTCCATGACACCACATCACCGTGTTCATTTTCAGACAGGAGACTGACTCGGCCTTGGTAATGCAAATTTTGAGTTACATTGTATATTGAGGTTCTGGTTGAGAAGTTTCGTTGGGGAAATATTACGAACAATTTGTGGGCATTCCGATTTAATGAGCGCATGAGATAGTCAATCAAATGAACCGATGGATATGAGATCTACTATGCTCCTTATATTTTTATTAGGAGTTAAGAAAACACACTATGCAAAGCAAAGGGTGTTCCGGAATTTGTGAGCTTAGTACCAGACTACCAGTCTGGCAGTCGCAACTCGCAAGCTGAAAGCTTGAACTTTCAATATTTTAACGTTGAAAGGAGGTCTTTGGAACACGAGGTTGACTATTGGAGTATTGGTTCAACAGAGTTTTGAGTTTTTTGAATTTATACTCCGTACCTTATAGACATTCCGTTCATGGAAAACTAAAATGGAAAATTGAATCAAAATAAATTAAATCGCAACTTAATTAAATGGAAAATGGTAGGGATACACAAGTTCTACACAACTTGTACACACAATATCGGTCACAGACAATTGGTATGGAGTTGCTTGTGACCACAGACAAGAGTTGTCTGTGTATACAGACAAATTTTGTCTGTGACCACAGACAAGAATTGTCTGTGTACACAGACAAATTTTGTTCGTGTCCACAGACATTTACTTTTTTGTAAAAATTACACTGAGAGCCGTCTGACAATGACAAGTACTTTTTACAAAAAAAGTAAATGTCTATGGACATAGACAAAATTTGTCTGTATACACAGACAACTCTTGTCTGTGGTCACAGACAACTCCGTACCAATTGTCTGTGACCGACATTTTGTGTACAAGTTGTGTGCAACTTGTGTGCCCCTAGCATTTCTCTAATTAAATTGAGCCTAAAAATCGAAATTGGATGCAAAAAATTAAACGGTAGTTGTTTGTTTCGATTTTGGTTTTTGACCTTTCAACATCAAATCAAATTAGATAAATCGAATTGATGAAAATATATTCCGTAATACGGAGTATTTTATTTTGTTAATCATTAAGCACCAATCATATATCAGTGTTAGTTTGATTTTTTAGCGGAAGAAAAATAATGTTTTATCTTATTTAATATGTTAGATTGTTATGTTTGTGGTTTAATTCAGCTTATAATAATATCCATTTATACTTCTATTCCATATATTAATACGGCTATGTAGATCTATTAATATTCTAATGAGTGTAATTTGTAGTAACTTTTGTTGTTGTATCATAAATTTTTTATATTGAGTCATTGCGTGAACAAATAAATATTCATCTCAATTGTATTCCGGAGTATCTCAGAGAACGTATGTATTCATGAACTGTTTTCAAACTAAACAAAACTTATAAACTAAGAGTATTTATACTTTGATCTAGGGTTGTTTTCAAGTTATAACCTCAAGAAAAGAGTTGTTCAAAAAGATAGAACTAACATACACAATTTTTAGAAACCAAACTTCTTTATTGGACAATGTAAAATAATCTACACTACATTCTACATCCCAAAAATTTGGAAAAATATGTGCTCTTTCATGTATATTTCAAGAAATATTTATTCATTCTTTTTTTTTATCTTTTCTAGTGTGTACATTAATTCTTTATGTTATAAGTTTGATCCTCAGCCTCAAATATGTAGGCTTTGTTGTAGTAGTGTTCCAATCCTATGATGCTATTTTAATACAATCACAAATGAAAAGTCCTATTTGTGACATTTTAGCGGTCGTCTTACAATAGTCGCACCTTTTCGTTATTCAAGAATAATCCAACTTTTGCACTCAATCTTCATTTGATGGTCCTTGACCGGTTAATCGCCTATTATTCCAAGTTATTTTCTTATCTTTGCAAAATATTATCTTTGTGAAAGGTGAGATTTATGGTATAATGGTTTGCAAAAATAAGAAAATAGCTTGGAATAGCAGGTCATCAACCGGTCAGGGACCAGTGATTGAAGATGGGGTGCAAAAGTTGGATTATTCATGAATAACAAAAAGGTGGAGCTATTGTAAGAAGACCGCTAAAAGGTTGGATTATTAGTTTCCATTTTCCCTTTTAAATATGCATTTAAACACTTAAACGTACAAAGCCATTTAAATTTTAAACTATACGAATTCTTATAAGCAAAACTTATGAAAACACTCTATCCCAAAGAGTTTAACTTGTACCTAAATTTATCCACATAGACAAACAATTTCCTTGTCTAGCAATAACTTGGAAATTAAATATTATATTCATCCAGGATCATTTTGTAAAGATCAAAGAATAAACTGCCCTGTGTTTGTTCTTAGGTTTTGAAATTCCTTCATATTGAATTTCAAGAGTGTTATCAATTACCCCTTCGAGATGGGGAGGAATGGGTTTATAGCATGGAATAGGCCGGATTGGTTAAATTAATACCGTGGAGTTAGCAGCAAAAAAAGGGAAAAATTCACCAAATATGAGTAAGAGATAATTACTAGAGAAAAGGGGCAAATAAGCCCACGTACTAACAAAAAAAGGTCAAATAAGCCCTTATGTAGGAGGCTCTGTCCGGTCGTCGCCATTTGGGGCGGTTCCCGGTGAATTTTTTTGATGAATTTTTTTGAGCATCTTATTCACTAACTCTAGTTTATGCATATCAAATTTCAGCTAAAACTTCAATTGGTAACCTATGACTAAAACTTCTTGATCACTTTCTCAGTCTATGACCTAACTAGTATTTTTACCAAAATAATATTAAAATTGATAAAACTTAAATAAAATTCGGAATAAAAAAATAAATTTGGTGGACAAATATACCCTTTAGATTATATCTATAAAATCCTAAGCTCCTACTCTTTTCTCCAACCCTAGCATTCGGTCTTCCGCCTCCACAGATCCACCCGCCTCATGCGCCCCGCCGCACACCCCCTGCAGCCACCCGCCCCCTTCCGCCGCCGCTCCACGGTTTGCCGCCGTCCAGGAGCACAATCGCCGACACTAGTGCATCATGTCGCTTGCTTGCCCGACCACCCCCAACACCAGGCTTGCTCGCCGCAGCCACTACTCAAATCGACACCAGCGCTCCGCCACCGTTCCTAACCATGATTGCCGCCGCCTTCAGGGATGGACCATCTAGGATTCTACCGAAGAGGAAGGCACATCCAGACGAGGGTAAAGAGTCTATTCATGTGGACGAAAATATATTTTTCCTCTCCTCAGTTTAATTTGGAACGATTGCCCCTACAAGATTCTCTTTTATGTGGACGAGGATTCTCTTTAGTGGACCATGACATGACATGGGTTTTGTTAACCGGCAGTGCTGCTATTTCTTTAAACTTTTTACTTCTTATTTTTGTATTTGTGAAATTAGGGCTTTAGGGTATCGATTATGATTTGTGGGCATTAGATATGAGCATTGAATATTAGCAATGAACATTTCAATAAGTGTTGTATATGGGCAAGTTGAAGTGCTTTATAAGCTCTGATGCAAATTCATATACTCATAAATAAACTAAACGTTGTTGTTGGGATGATAAGAAGAATACACATTCAAGAATAGACAAATTCCTTATGTAAGAGTTGGGGTGGACATAGGTCCAAGTTCTGCCAGTCGATTTTCAAACTGAGAACATGATAGGAAAATAAGATTTCAAGCTGAGACCAAAATTAGAGTCATCAGACCAATAAAAAACAAGTCACGATCTCATTTTTTGGACTATAACTACAAAATCCGATCGAAATTAATTTCTTTTGCATCTGCGCCAATGGAAAGCATTTTTTTAAGAATGGGAAGCATTTTAAAGGCTAAAAAGGATGGAGAGGTTGGAGGGTATAGAAATATACTCCATGCCTGAGTATATGTGAGAGGGTGACACTCATACCAATAAAAGCGAGTATATGTGCTTATTATTAAATTGATAAAGTAAGAATAGAGTAAGAATGATTTAAAATCACACAAATTTGACTAAATTCATTATTTCAATATTGGACGATCTTAGTAGAATGGGTCTCAAAGAAAATTTGAGACAATCGAAACCAGCCCAGAACTGGAAGTATAGTCTCAATGCCAGGCCCCAATATTTTTGTTGAAGGACCAGCCACTCCAAAATCGGAACAGACCCAAAATGGGTCATCTCCACCCATATGTAGGAGTATGTTGTTTTGTTGAAGGACCCGCTGGTTTGGGTGAAAACCTCACATTTAGGGTTTGAGAGCACTGGCTTGCCTCGCCATATTCGCTTCTTCGTCTAATCGATCCTATTTCCGATCTGATTTCTGCCCATCGTCGACGGAAAACGATGGTTAGTGAGCTGCCGGAAGAGGTAAAGGATATGATTCTGGAGCGCATGCCCACTCGAGACGCCGCTAGATGTGCTATACTCTCAACTGGGTGGAGGGATGCTTGGTCCCGCCACGGCCGGCTCATCTTGGACGAGGACTTCTTCCGGTCCATCGAAAGCAGCAGAGCTGCAAACAAAGACGGGTTTGCGGTGAACTTGATAAACAACATTCTCATGCTCCAGGCTGGATCTATCAAGCAATTTAGTTTGGACATATCTTGCTTACATCCTGAGCAGACGACTCTGCAATCTGATTTAGAGCGGTGGTGTCTTTATCTCTCAAGAAACGGAGTTGAGGAGCTTGAATTCATCACATGTTATTCCGAAACAAAGTATAAGCTACCGCTTTGTCTGCTCTCATGCAAGACCATTAGGCAACTCACACTTGAAGGCTTCGTTATCTCTTTTCTGGAAAACCTTCGCTGTGTATTTCCCAGTCTCACGTCGTCACAGTTCAACAATGTCGAGTTCTGTGGGAACGTCAACGGACTAGTCAATACTATTCTTCCGAAGCTTCAGAACCTGGCCTTGTATTATTGTGATGGTGTTTGTAATTTTGTGGCCAGCGCTCCACAACTTGAAAGTTTGACCGCATATGGCGGCCCTCTCGATGGGGTCACAACCAGATTGCTCACGCTTCATTTGATTTCCATCAATACCCTCTGCTTGTCTGCCGATACGTTCTCGGGTAAGGATGCTGCGGTGGCCTCCGCGGCCCTTCCAATTGCGACAAATCTTCGTGAAATAATGCTTGACCATTTTACTTTCGAATATGCAACCAATCTTACCTTTCTTATCAACTTGCTTTAAAATTCCCCCAAACTATGCCTGCTGAGGATTGATGTCGCCCATACAAACTTCTTTATGGCCGCCGGTGGTTGGCAAGTAGTTGATTCAACACTTTTGGCAGGTCTTGCAGAAGGTGGCCTCTTCGTGGAGACGGTGAAGATCAACGGGTTTACAAGATCCAAAATGGAATTGTGCTTTCTGAAATTAATACTCTCTAAGTGGAGTAGTGGACTGTGCTCCATGAGGTTTTTATTTGTGAAGTCCAAAATATGGACGCCTCTTTGGCTTCCCAGGCTCCAAAGAAGCGGTTGACCTTTCCTCGTGCATCTCCCAAAGCACAACTTGTTTACCATTGAAGGAGTACAACTCCCACTGGTTCATGCTGAATTTATTTTGAAACTTTTTGCTAGCCATCTAAGGATGGTAAACCTAGCAATGTCCATGTCATTGAGACTGAAACCAATGGTTGAATGGTACGGTTCCATTGAAGTTAGTCATGGACCCGGGCCGGGCCGGTTCCGGTTCCGGGCCGGGCCCGGCCGGGCTTTTTTTTTGGGAAGGAAGGCCCGGGACCGGCCCGGGTAGCCACCGGGTCCGGTCCGGGTCCGGGCCGGGCCGGGCCGGGCCTCCGGTTCGGTTATAATTTTTTTTTTTTTTTTTTTGCTTTCCTAACCCCCCCACTCACCCCCACACCCCCCCCAAACCCCCAAACCCCTCCTAACCATCAAGCCCAACTTGGCTAACCCCAAAAAAAGAAAAAAAAATTAAAAAAAAATCAATTCGGCCCGGGCCCGGGCCCGACCCCGGCCGGGCCGGTTCGCCAAATTCAAGGCCCGAGCCCGGACCCGGCCACCCCACCGGGCCTAGGACCGACCCGGACCCGGACCCGAGAACCGGGCCGGTTCCGGGCTTGCACAGTGGCGGGCCGGGCCGGTCCCGGGCCGGGCGGCCCGAACCGGGTCCATGCCTAATTGAAGTTGGTAACTTTATTTTTGCAATATTTATGTAAGAATGCAATCCTAGAATATGTGTATCCCATGTAGAATATTGTAAACCGTTAGTTCCTAGAATATGTTTAGTTTATGTTCATCAAAAACTTCCAACAGAAAGAGATCCAAATGGCCTCGGCCGGTCGGCCGGATTGTGAGTCCCGTCAAACCGAGTTACCGACCGGCCTAATATGAACTACCCTCTTCTGTTAGATAATAAGTGTGTTTTTTTTGTCAAAAGAATTGAACTGTGTGTTTTGTAGAATAACTGTGGAAAAAAAAAAGTATGCCAATTCTTTTTTATACTGTACAACTCTTTATAAGAGTAGGCGAATTTTCTTCAATGATCTTTTCAATTACTTTTCCAACTAAGAATATACTTAACATTATAGGTAGATAACATTGATAGTTATAAGTAAAGTTAACGATGATTCTTGCATACAATCTATCAGTCATGCATCACAATTGACTTGAAATTCAAATAAGTAATACGCAGTATAAGCATTGGCAAAAGTAAAATAAAAAAAACTAAACGAGTAGGCTCATTATTCATTAATAAATATAGCTTATGCATCCTTGAGGCCTTGAGGGGAAACAAGTAGCATATTGCATTTTAAAATTTCCAAACTTTAAGTCTTTAAGATGATAATAATTTTTTAGAATTGTAAACTTAAAAGGCATAGCGATAGATTGCATCAGCAGCTCCATCTTCATCATTGCTGGAACCGATCACATCAGCCGTGGCCTTCGCCTTCTCGGATCCATTGCTGAGAGCAACGCCTAGAGAGGCCAACTCAAGCATCTCTACATCATTTTCCCCGTCACCTATGGCCATTATCTACATGGCACCCAAAAACATAGACCTTATTTTGAGATTGACAAAAAAAAGGATAGTGAAGCTTTTTCAGTCAAATGGAGTACATTGAGCCACTAGGCTCAAAATTTAATTCACGTTCAATAGTTTTGTTCTTGAGAACTTCTTATAATTCTATTTTTTTAAAACAGAATATAATATAGGAAAAGTTCCCGAAATAGGAGTAAATAAGTTTTGGAATTCTGAAATAGGATTAAATAGGTTTTGGAATTCTAAAATATGACTATTATGTTTTTCTTCCCGAAATAAGAGTAACATGGTGATATTTACTATAATCTTATAGTCATTATTGCTAAAATAGTTGTAGTACTAAACATTAAAATGGCAATATTTAGTATTTACATCATTAATGAGTATTTTGCAATCATGGCAGTAATGACCTATTTTAGAATTATGAAGCCTATTATCTCACATTTAGGGCGAATTCCCTATAACATATAGCACTTGTAGCGATATCAGCCAGTGATACTTTAACGCAACCAGGTGCGAGAAAGGGAGAGTGAAAGATGAGTATTACCAATCATGAAAAAGGCTTAAATAGGTTTTAGCCCTTGTTTAGGTCAATGTGATCTTTTTTCCATCCATGTATTTTATACTTTGGTTTTTTTTTCGTCACTAAAATTTACGCCGCTCTGTTTAAAATTTACTCCGCTCTGTTTAAAATTTACGCCGCTCTGTATATGTTCTTTAAGGAAGATTGACCGCGAATTCTTTAAAGAAAAATCGCGCTTATATTAACGGCAGGAATGACAAAAAATCTACAAGGACCTAAAACAAAAACAAAAGGGAAAAGGTGCAAATAGGCCCATGTACTAATAAAAAAAAGGTCAAATAAGCCCTTATTTAGGAGGCTCTGTCCGGCCGTCGTCATTTGGGCTGGTTCCCGGTGGAATTTTTTGATGAAATTTTTTGAGCATCTTATTCATCAAGTCTAGTTTAGTCATACCAAATTTTAGCTAAAACTTCAATCGGGAAGACATTCAAATGAATTCTTGAAGATAACTGCGCTTCTAACTGCGCAGTTATTTTCAAGAATTCATTTGAATGTCTTCCCGATTGAAGTTTTTGCTTAAATTTGGTATGCGTAAACTAGACTTATTGAATAAGATGCTCAAAAATTTTCATTAAAAAATTCTAACGGGAACCACCCCAAATGGCGACGTCTTGACAGAGCCTCCTAAATAAGGGCTTATTTGACCCTTTTTGGTTAGTACATGGGCTTATTTGCACCTTTTCCCAAAACAAAAAACAAAACAACTAAAGGATAGAAATATTTATTACATACCTCCTTCGGACTAACACCCAAATGATCAAGAAGGATTTGAACCCCTCTGCCTTTAGAAGTTCCAGATGGGACAATTTCAAGCATGTCTGGCACAGCTTGTACAACAGATGCATAATCCCCAGCTGCTTTTTCCCAATATGGCCTCAACGTAGAAGACACTCCTTCAGCTGTGTCTAAGAAGATCATTTTCTGCAAATTGAGATCTATAATCTGAGGAGAGAAAAATTGAATAAAAGGCTATGTTTTATGGCTGTCATAATTTGTTTAGCTTTTCTAACATATTGAGGTATATATGAAGCTTCATCGCCATGTGAAACTACTGCGCATATTTTTTTCTCATATTGCCTTCATATTACTCCGAGATATGAGTAAATTACCGTCATTCTGAAATCATATTGCCATATTTAGGTTGTCAAAAAAGATGTCAGTTCTCTAGTACTTCGCACTTTAAATTTCAAAGATTATCAATGCCACGAAGATAGATAAAAAAACATATCACAAAATTGATCAATCTCTACTTTTAAATTTTAATAATCACAAAGAAGGAAATAAACACTTTTAGGTTCCATAACTCATTTTCAATTCCTTGTGTTTGGCTGAAGTTAGACAACTATACTCTGGTTTATTTTCTGGAAAAAAAAAAAATCTGGTCCAAGTTCATAAAAAGGGGCAGCCCTGTGCACATTGGCATCCCACGCAAAGGGATGGTCAAGGAAGGGACCCACCACAAGGGTGTATAAGGGCAAGCTTTCCCTAGTCAATTTTTTATTAGAGGCTGCTCCCAAGAATTGAATCGGTGACCTATCAGGCTCTCACTGACACGACAACACCTTTACCGATGCGCCAAGGCTCCCTTTCATGCTATGCAAGTATATCATGTATAGTTTTAAAGAGATTATTTACAGGAAAATATGTTAACAGGAAAAGCACTAGGCCATAGCTAAGGTCAATTGGCAATACTGGGGTAATGTTGTTGTCGTTGTTGTAACCTTATGTAATATGGACCAGACATAGTTATATTTAAGGTGGTTCTTGTGGACTTGTGGCAGCAAGAATGGTGACATGGTGAAGATTATGACAGCGTTAGTGATGGGGTGAGGGCATTAATGGTGGTGTGGTTGGGAAGATGATATGGCTGTAATACTGATGATAGTGGTGGCATTGATGGAGTGATGACACTGCCAATGGTTGGGTTGGATGGCAGGTCGGCAGGTGATTGTAATAGGATGACGAGTGGTGATGGTAACATGAGTTGTAGCAGCTTAGTTACAATGAGATGGTGGAAGAGGCAGCATTGGTGAGGTGATGACGGTGATAATGGTAGTGAGATGGTGATAGCGGTGAAGCTATGATGATTAGGTGGCGAAAATGGTAAATATATTAAATAACTCCATATCTACATAAGAACACTTCTATCAGTTTTAAAAGCAAACCTGTATTTCTACCCCTTCCAAGAGTTGCTCGATACTAGGAATGATCTCCGCCTATCAAAACTCAAAAGATCTCATGTCAATGATGTAATAAAAAGAGTTGATAAAATCTGCATAAAATCAATATTGACTATTAAGAGTGAACTTGGAAAATTTCAGACCTTTGGTTCATAATATATTGTGTGAAGTGATTCCACCAAAGGGTGGTCGAATAAAGTAAAACAGCGGCCCTCACAAAATGCAATAAGAGGGATCTTATGGTTGACAGAGTAAAGGCATGCCTGTGATCAAATAAAAAAAGGATTATAATTCCTATAAATACTCAAGGAGCAATTCTATCAATGAAAGACAATCTCTATATCCAACCTCACCCAACAATTCAGAACTATTTATTTGAAACAAGCGACACATTATATAGGTGTAACAATTGCAAAGTAGTTGTTGAATAATGCTCTTGTGTATTGCTGATTTTGGTACAAGGATATAGACTGAAACTTGAAGTGTAATGCAAATATTATAACACATAAAATGTAAATTTATATTCTGTGATATTGTAAAATTGTTATATGATTATATCAGTCAAAAAATTCATATTTGACCAATAGAATACAAAGCTAATATTATTCATTCATCCTAAAACGTTACTTATCTGGGTAAGATTCGCTGCCCATAAAGTCTTCCATCCTTTGTAAAGGAGCTATCATAAATTTCTTGAAACTGGGCTAATAGTTCGGGAATAAAATATTCTACGAAACTATAGGGTGAGAGAAAACCCCATAAAAGGAAAAAACAAGCTAAGTAATTTAAAGAACTCTAGAAAAAAGGAGGTAGAAGAATTTACCTCTCTACATATATTTGGGTCTAAATTCCTCCTTGAAATTTCTCGACCTTGATTACCGTACACAAGGAGTCCCTGAAGTATCACAAAAGAAGAAGAGAATGATACCATTCTTAAATAATGCTCCATGTGACTTCCATTTATATAAAGTTACAACTACCTACATGTTTCTTTCTTGAAACTGATACCATATTTATAAGAGCAATAGTGGGCCTTAGTAGAACGAGAATGGATATTCAAAGTCTCTAAACCTAGGAGTAGAGTTATTTATATGGGGCCATAAACCAAATGGAAAAAGTTACAGTTTTCCGCAACTTGCAAAATAGAACGCATGTTTACTACACACTAATGTTCCAAATTTGGAAAAAAATAAGCATACTTACTTCTCCAATTATCCATATGAAAACAGTTACAAAAAAACATGTAATCCCTCAACAATAAGAGAACATTTCCAAAAAAGGAAATTTTTAAAGATTATAACCAATCACTGATGGAGCCTATGGTCACAACCCTCACCCATACCTCACCAATCATTTTTCATATGGAGAGGTTAAGGAACTTTTTGGGATGGGGGAGATGATATGGAAGGATAGGAAATATCATTTCCGGCCTTCCAAAACAAATCTAGTTATCCATCTTGGGTGTGTTTATTAAGCATCAGGAGTGAAGGGATCCTTTTTAGAAATTGTGGGAGACCTATTCAGTGTGGACAAAATCATATGGTGGATTACTTTTTTGTTCATGTCATCAAGTGACGAGCCTTCATCACAGTTCCAAAACTCTCCAAATCCGTCCCGATAAGCTATTTGCAATGCAGACAGGAAGGATGTTCTGCCATGTGGAAGGGTTACTGATACGAACACAAGTGCACTAGACAGGCTGCATAACGAGATGAAAATATGCAATATCATTTTGGAAAAAATTTAATCACCTTTTCGGACATAGTGTGTTTAGTCTGAATAGATGGCTGCTCTTAGAGAGGAGGCAGGCTTTCATTTGAAATAGCATAGCTATTTGGCAAGTTTGATCATTCAGTAGAAGTGTTCATGCTTCTTGGTTCTTACTTATATCCTAGTTGTTTCAGCATACTGTTTGGTTTTCAGTATTTAATCCCTCTTGAATCTTTACCCCTATCAGTTACTGAAAAAGTAAATCACCTAAGCGGTGTATTTGTGATAGGAATCCTGGTATTATCTGAGCGTAAACAGTAAACCAGCAAACACAGATCTGATAGAATGATAAGGAAAGAGTGTTTATTGATGGAAGGAGATAAACCGTAGGCTACAGGGACTTCTTAGGCAACCGGGACTCTCAAGGCTACAAGGCAACAACTCATAATCAAAATAACAGTCTGCCTACAATAGTTATCCCCCTTCTATTTATAGCTATTATCCATCGGGATATGCCCGATATTACTAATACCCCTTCCCTTCTATTAATACTACTACAAGTACCCTTACTAATATTATTATTATTTCTTTTTAATAGCCAGATTCCTATCAATTTGCAAACTAATATCTACAAAAAGAATAGACTTAACTTAGTCCAACAAAAGTAAACCAATTGGCATAAGCTCACATAATTTGAAAATCACCACTTACCACTAGTAGAAAATCTAGAAGTTACAGAAACAATACCTGCAAGAACACACCAGGAGAAAACTCTGAAATTATGCCATCCTTTCCTGCTAAATCTACTGTCTTCATCAAATTTATGACAGCAGGGCGAGTCTACTCCTCAGAAGTATCAGGTACCACATTAGTTCAAAGAATAGCCAAAAATAGGTAAACACATGTACCTCAAGGCTACACTTATAAATTTAAAGCTCCATATCATATAAGTGTGCTCACTTTTCCAGTAGCTATCACTACTTTTACGCCCCTAGATATAGCTTCTTTTAAAGCTTGTGCAGTTGCAAGAGTAATTTGGCTTTTGCTATTCAGAAGAGTGCCTTTCATCAAAAGATAAGAGAAATTAATTAGCCTGAAATAAGTGAGAACTTGTAAAGAAAACACTTCCCAGAATAAATATAGATATCTTACCATCCATGTCACAGAAGATATATCTAAACTTCGGTTTGTAAAAACGAAGACTACCTTCCATCTTCCTGTCTTTAAACAATCAGATGTAGATTCTTCAGGGACCTTAGAAACTAGACTATAGATGCATATTTTAAGATACCATCACCAATTAGAAAATCCAGAACGTCTATTACCATCTGTAGTTTCAATAGAAGTAGTTTCATCAGTGTCATACGCACTCTGAATTAATCCTTTCCCCTTCCACCCAAGACTCTTTAAAAGTTGCTCCTCCTCTTCCTCCATCTCAGTTTCTGCCTCATCACTAATTTCATGATCAAATCCCAAAAGATGTAGTAATCCATGAACCTACGGTGAAGAAATCGGTACGGTAATTAGCTTTTTTAATACAAAGGAATTTCATTTTTCAATCACAAAAGGGGAGTCTTGGCGCACCGGTTACAATGTTGTTGTGTGACCCAGAGGTCACGTGTTCAAGTCTTGGGAGCAGCCTGTTGTCAAAATGACAAGGGAAGGCTTGCTCCTTATAGACCTTTTTGGTGGGACCCTTCCTGAACCCTCACCTAGTGGGGACGCCAATGTCCATCCGGCTGCCCTTAAAGGGTTTCAATCACAATCTAATAAGTGTTAGGGGGTAATAATTCTCTTGGGCTGGATTATGGTACATGAGATGGACCAGAGGACGTATGAACCAGCTGTAATGGGCCGCCAGGCCTGGGCTATGATCTACTGATCTAGCATTGAGACGACACCTCCAATTCAAACAAGGATGGCAGTTTATGTATTTGTTTCTTATTCCGTACATGTCTTTGAAGAAGGTGGTTTCGTATTATAATACTTCGTATATATTAATTAGGGAAAATCGCATATATGGTCTCTCAGTTATCCACGAAATTAAAATCTCAGACTTGTATTTTTGAGATTGTAAATGTCACCCCTCAATTGTCCAAAATGCTGTAAATGTGATCCTTTTGAGGGGTGAAATATACAATGTGGGCGAGAGTATATTTCACTACTTGAAGGACCACATTTACACCAATTTGGACAATTGAGGGGTGACATTTACAATCTCAGAAATACAGGTCTGAGATTTTAATTTCGTGGATAACTGAGGGACCATATATGCGGTTTTCCCTATTAATTAATAAGTAAAGCAGTCCCCTACTCCTAGAAAAAAGCATGTTTGTTATTTAGTTAACTGGCAGGCAGGGTTTCTATTAGGATGCAGGTTCCTAATGGTGAATGGGAGTTGAGAGGAGGCCTATGTGTTATCAATGAGACCTATAAGGCTGTAACTTCTTGGTGAGTGATCTTGAGACCTCTATATGCAATATGTACCCATTACCAATCCTACTTTTTTTGTTTCCTTTGAGTGCATGATTGATGACACTGATACCATGTTAAAAGAGGAGAAAGAAAAGTTTTCCATGTATACAATATAAGAGAATGAATCTGAAAGTCCCAATATGTATACACATGTTAAGACTCGGGGTTCCATCCTAAAAGGTCAACCTGTTAGGAGGAGTAGCCCAAAGCCTTATATAGTGTTTAATTGTTTTATAGCTTTCCGGTGTGAGAGTGTGAGACAAATGTTTTAACATGCTCCATCAGCCCGAATCAGGCTGGACAATATCGGGGTGTAGAAACGGGCCAAACAACCCTTAACAAAGCTACCATTAATCATGGGTGCTAAATAAGCCGTCAAACCACAACCGGAATTGGATCTGATATCATGTTAAGACTCGGGGTTCCATCCTAAAAGGTCAACCTGATAGGAGGAGTAGCCCAAAGCCTTATATAGTGTTTAATTATTTTACACCTTTCCGGTGTGGGACAAATGCTTTAACAACACACATACGGGCTCTTCAACTAGCCACCTGGGGATAAGCAGAAGATAAAACTAAGAACATGGACTCAGCCACAAGAACAAAAGGTTGTGGACCTTTCATATTTCTCGACGAGGATTAATAGCTTGATCAAACTAGTAGTCGTATAAAACTAAGGATATGGCGCTAAGCCACTAACGTGTTATAAAGTTGTGTGATAGCGTTATAATTCATTCCAACAAGATAAATATAAGAGATATTGCACACAAAAGGTTCAGGTAATCAAATGTAGAACTACTAGTAATAGAAGAATAGTAGAAATATATTGCACCAACCAGAAGGATTCGTATCTCATCAATGAGAGTGTGACCTCTTTCCTCTGCTTGCCTAGCAGCCGTCTCAACAGAAACTACAATGTCACCCAACATGAGCTGATATTGAAAGACTCAGATTAGGTTTCATTCAAAAAGCATATGCATACATATCAAGCGCAAATATCAAAGAGGATTTTACAATGGGAAGTTTAAGCTCGGGAATATGCTGAGACATTGAGAGGACATCAGTAGGCTTATTTTCATTTCTCCACTCCTTGTTAAGTGCTCGGATAAACTCATCATTGCAAAGAAGCACAGATAGCTCAACACTTTCAAAACAGCCAACATCACTGATTGCAGTGTCTCTAGTTTTACACTTTGAATCTTTCAAACCATCTAGCGCTAATTTTATTGCTATTGGCACATTAAGACGGAGCATTTCAGCAATATCCTGCATCCAATCATCAAGGCTATTTTAGTAAATAACTAAAATATGCGGCTTAACTTTTTCTTTTTGTGCTTTTTGAAAAGTTATAGGAACATGAATCCATAAGAACTTGTACAAATCCATCAGATGGCATAGTATTAGAACTAGAATGTGTGTATAGTGTTACTCATTTCTTACACACATTAAATCTTCTACCAATTTCCACCAACACAAAGAAATCAATAATCCATCAGTCTATTATAATTTACCATCTACAATGATTAGTGATTACTACCTAATTCCACCCATAAAATAAGATGTGATATGCATTTATTGTCAACTGCAATGTCATCAAATGGTCTTAAATAAAATTAGAAGCATAGATGAAAGTCCAATCTGGAAAAAAAAAGTCAGCAGAGTATCTTCATACTTATATATATTCAGCTACACACCAGAACTTCAGAGTCATCAGGCAACTGTTCTTCAATGCAAATATTTACACTAAGTTCCAGTTCCTTCCCCTTCCTCTTCGCCAGCCTCCTTGAGTGCTTCCTGTACTCCCTCCGTGACGCTAGCGTTCTCCCAAACAAACGGTCAATGCCCCAGCTCCCAAAATCTTTGCGGGTGAGGCCACTGGCGAACCTTCTCTCGAAAATTGAGGACGGCTCGCTAGACAGACTTGAGAATGAGAAGCGAGCAGACGGCAGCGACAGAGTAAAATGTGAGCGCGAAGGAAAGCTAGCTGCAGCTACGGAAGTGGAAACCATGGCGCGCGGGAAAACTCGCACCAACATAGTGTCACTGGATTGAGACGGAAACGAAGGAGGGAGGATATTTCTGGAGACGGAGGGGGCAGGGAATCAGACAGACAGAGACGAGAGCGCCATGGACAATATTACTTCTCAGTTGGCTGATTAAGAGCCCGTTTGCTGATTAAGAGCCCGTTTGGTAGCACCAAAATCGGCTGTTTTGGCTGATTCTGCTGAAATTTATGATATTCTGGCTGGAGTGGCTGTTTTGGTTGATTCTGCTGATTTAAGAAAAAAATATTTTAAAAATATATTTTATTAATAAATTAAAGAAAAAATTATATGTAAAAATAGCTAAAATGGTCCTCTACAGTAACTTCAGCCAATACAGCCAGAAAAGTAACTCCAACCTTACTTTTTCGGCTTATTACACAATTCAGCGCGCGAAAGTAAAAGTTACGTGTTTGGTGAAAAAGCTGGCTGATAAGCCTGATAAGCCGAAAACAGAGTTCTCCAAACGGGCTCTAAGAGCTTGTTTGCAACTATGACCGGGTCAACCGGTCCTGAGGAGGGTGATCCGAACGAATGACCGGGTCAAGGGTCAACCCGGACCCGGAGGATCAACCCGGTCAACGGGCGAAAAACCCGGTCAACCTTTGATAAAATTAAAACATAAAATATGTATTATTATAAATTATATATTAAGATGTTTTCAAAAAAAATTATATTAAGATTATAAAGAAAAAAACATATTCTCCTTTATAATTAAATAGTTATAGTACTCCCTTCGTCCCTGAATTATCTTCAAACTTTCCTTTTTCATCCGTCCCAAAATTATCTTCTCTTTCCCTTTTTGGCAAAGAATTTGTGGTTCACAACCATTCTTACACATTCTTACACATTTCTCTCTTCTCTGCACAACTCTCCACCACACAAAACTCATTTTCTTAAATAATGTGCCTAGCCGAAATGGGAGAAAGATTATGGACGGAGGGAGTATATAACAAGTATAACAATAACAATATTGTTCTAAGATCTTAAATATACAACTATAAACAAAATGTGTGAATGATGGTTATTATAAAATCCAATTAAATTGTACTGCGTATAAGTAACTTTGAAATATATTTGAAATGATGTAGACATATCACATATTTGAAAAGAAAGCTAATATCAATATTGCATAATAGTTACTCCCCATAAGTATTTTGATGATGTTTGATAACATCAATTACTAATTACACCGTATAAAGCTTTGCCTTTAACACACTTATTACAAAATAAAGATATACGAAGTATGCAATATATAACTTGAAATCACGAATATGGCAAAGCAGTGAGTGCGGTACATTGGAAATGAGTGTGGAGTGTATCCTAGAGGTTGCGGGTTCGACCCTCGCGTGCAACCCATTTTTTAAGCAGCTGTGGATTGGGCGGTTTGCATGGGTTCTCCGGGTTTAGCCGGGTAATGGGCTGGGTTTCCGGCCGCGTCAACAACAGGTCTAGACGGGTTTGGGCATATTTGCGGGTTAACCGTAACCGGCCCGGTATTCCCAGCGGGTTGCCGGTTTCCAGGTCGACCCGCCCGGGCCGAGGGGTAATGCGCTGGGTTTCCGGCCGCGTCAACAACGGGTCTAGGCGGGTTTGGGCATATTTGCGGGTTAACCGTAACCGGCCCGGTATTCCCAGCGGGTTGCCGGTTTCCAGGTCGACCCGCCCGGGCCGAGGGGTAATGGGCTGGGTTTCCGGCCACGTCAACAACGGGTCTAGGCGGGTTTGGGCATATTTGCGGGTTAACCATAACCGGCCCGATATTCCCAGTGGGTCGCCGGTTTCCGGGTCGACCCGCCCGGGCCGGGTCGGGTCTTACAGAATCAATTAAAAAAGTGATTTTGGCTTTTTTTTTTAAGAAAAAAGCATTTATTTTACCAAACATTATCAACTTTTATTTCCTCGGTTTTCGTGTAGAATCTACTTTTTACTTTTTCTATTACACAAAAAGCACTTATTTTACCAAACACTACCAACTTTTACTACTAATCACTTTTTCCCAAAAAGTGATTTTATTTAAGCACAAGTGGTTGCAAACAGAGCCTAAGTGATCAGATACGATCAAATTGTTTGACAGAAATTTTTTTAGGTCGGAGGTAGTAAAAGTTTATGTTTGAGATATCCATAAAAGGAGTAAGAATATATGAATATATATACTTGTAATAAATAGTCGGTTTATGTATATATGAATATACATAAACATGAATATTTATGTTTGAGTTTATGTAATATATATAAAAAGAATATATACAATGCAATTGTTAGATAGTCGGTTGATTATAGATGTGGACCTATCAATATCTGACTATCGTCACTAATTATAGGCCGATCACTAAAATCAATCATTTCACATCCATTGTGGCCGTCTCTGGCAAGGGAATCAAAATTGGTCTAATATCATGTATATAAAGGTTTGAATGAATGATTTATTGATGAAATACATGGGGAATATTTATACAGGAGTATACATAACAAACTAGCTAAAAAGAAGGGATAAAGGCTAGTAGCTAAAGTATCTCTAGTGCTAATTCTATCTAATACACTTGATTCATACGTATGAGATAATATGAGTACGTATGCTACAATATTTGTACATTAATAATATTTGGCCTCAATACGCCCCCGCAAGATGGAGGTTCCATTGGAAACTCCCAGCTTGGATCGAAAGCGTTCAAACAATGTTTTACCAAGAGGTTTAGTTAGAATATCAGCAACTTGAAATTTATTTGAAATATGATGAACCGTAAGCTGACGGCCTTCAACCAAATCACGAACAAAAAAGAAATCTAATGCCACATGTTTCATACGGGAATGGAACACTGGGTTGACACAAACAAAAGTGGCACCTTGATTGTCACAAAATAACTTAGGAGGTTGATCCAAGTGAATACCCAATTCGGTTAAAAGATTACGAAGCCACAAAAGTTCAGCACTTGCATGAGCAATTGCCCGATACTCGGCTTCAGTTGAAGAACGGGCAACCGTCTTTTGTTTTGCGGATTTCCACGAAATAATATTGGAGCCAAGATAAGTAACATAGGCTGTAGTAGATTTACCACTATCATGAATACCTCCCCAGTCAGAATCAGAGAAAGTTGTGAGTGTTAAGGGAGAAGAGCGGCGGAGATAAAGACCATAGTTTATGGTACCTTTGAGATAACGAAGAACTCGTTTAATCCCTTGCCAATGAACGTCCGTTGGAGCACGCATGAACTGCGAGAGTCGATTTACCGCAAAGGAGACATCCGGGCGTCGACAATTTTTTCCCGCATAACACCAGAAACATCCCAGCCGTTCGATTGAAAACATCTTCGCCCTTCTTATCCCCTTCCCCAATCTGTTCACTCCATTCACCCGTAATAGCTTTTCTCCCCGTCATTTCTCCTTCTGCATTCATCGTGATCGGAACCGGGCTCTCTATCAGTCTCCTCCATTCCTCCCTGCATTATTATCCATTAACGATAATAATGGTCTTGGTTGAGGATCGGAGGCAATTCACCCGCAGCGGGGCACCATCTAGGTTAAATACAGTGCGAATGTGCGATTAAAAGTTTATCCAGTGCGAATGTGCGAATGAACGTCCGTTGGAGCATGCATGAACTGCGAGAGTCGATTTACCGCAAAGGAGACATCCGTTGGAGCATGCATGAACTGCGAGAGTCGATTTACCGCAAAGGAGACATCCGGGCGTGTGAACGCCAAGTACTGAAGAAGACCAAGAACTTTGCGATACTGTTTTTGATCCGGGAGTGGATCCCCAGTAGTAAGCTGCGGTGGCGAACTGGAGCTCATTGGTGTGGCAGCTTCTTTTGCTCCATCCATTTCACATTCTTCAAGAATATGATGAATATATTGGCGTTGACTGAGGAATAAGCCGTCAGGATGAGTAAGGGCTTCAATACCAAGGAAGTGAGTCAAAGTGCCGAGATCTTTTACAGAAAATCTGGACGTGAGCTGTTGTATAAACTTCTCCAGGGCCAATGTATTATTTCCTGTTGTATTTAATGTTGATTAAACATTAGTGGAGGAGTAAATAAAAAGTGAGGCATCTGCGCTAGACTTTCGAAAGCCAACGGATAGTAGAAAGCGTGATAGTTCAAGATACCAAGCACGCGGGGCTTGCTTAAGCCCATATAGTGCTTTCTTCAAATGACACACATGTGTCGGATGAGTAGCGTCTTTGAAACCCGGTGGTTGTTGCATGTACACCTGCTCGGATAGAGTGCCATGAAGAAAGGCATTATTTACGTCCATTTGACGTAAAGGCCACTGATGAGAAAGAGCAAGTGAGAGCACAACACGAATAGTAGCTGGTTTTGTGACCGGGCTAAAAGTCTCTGCATAATCTCGTCCAGGTTGTTGAAGAAAACCTCGTGCGACCAGTCTGGCTTTAAAACGGGCAACCGTTCCATCTGCATGGCGTTTAACACGAAACACCCATTTACAAGTGATAGGGTGCTGTGAGCCACGAGGAACGAGACTCCATGTTTGATTTCGGTGCAAGGCTGCCATCTCCTCTTCCATAGCAGCACGCGACCTCGGGTCAGCTAAGGCAGCTTTCACACTCACAGGTTCAAGTACAGGTTGGATAGGATGAGTGGTAGTGTGATTGAGGAAAGGACTCCCAAAATATTTGGGGTTGGGAATTCGGTTTCGTGTTGGACGAGGGGGAGTGCTGGGCGGACTCGTTGAATGAAGAGTGGAAGTTGGAGAGGAGGTATTGTTTAAGGGTACGGACGGATGTATAGGAGAACTGGGCAAATCAGATTGGATATGTGAGGGGGTTATGGAGGGTTGACTTGGTGGGGGGAGATTAGATGATGTGGCATGATGGTTATGGGATAAAGACGTAGGTGGGGAAAAGATAGTATTTGGTGGAGTAGGAGCGGAAGGGATATTGTTGGGTGGAGTGATTGGTGCAGAGGATAAGGATGAAAGGGAATTAGTATTGTTGGTATGGGTTGGACCGAGTGAGTGAGAGGGGTCAGGAAGAGATAAGAGTGGAGGGTTAAATGGCAAGAGAGTAGGAGTGGGTTGAGTAGCACCGGGCATTACGGTGCATGCAGATTCATGCATGTGTCCCGATACATCCTTGT